GGGCGCGAGATCTATGTTTCTTGACGAAAAGTCGACGACCTCCCAGACCAGTTGAAGAAAAAAAAATACTCGCATAAATGGCTCACACCGTGGCTCGCATGGCTCGCTGGCTCGCAGATGTAGCAGACCCTCAATTTAAAAGTTATTGCAATACATTGTGTATTCAACATTGTAGATCATCCAATTGCGGTGACATGTTTGTTGATAGCAACAGAACATTGAAAGTCTGGTTCAGTCTGTCAAATGGGTGGTAGAATGGCCAAACTTAGTCAATTCATATTCACGGAATTGTTCTTCAATGATGCTGTTGACCTGGTGTTGAGTGGCGAAATCACTGACACGTCCGCATTCTGGTTCTAGGAAACGCTTTACCAGACAAAGCACTTTGATAAATTAGTAGTGCGTGCAATGATTGCCTGCGGTTTATTTACGGTCACGCTCGATGGACTAAGCAAAAGAGGGTCTACTCATAGTCTCTTTGTCTTGTTAGCCCAACAAATTATGTTCCTAAGAAAAGGAGTAATAAATTATTGTCACCATAACTTGATGTGCATCTGCCTACCTCAATCGAGAAACAAAAATTCTCCAACATCAGATTGGTGGTGCTTATAAGGTTACCAGGCACCAATTTTTCTATAACAGATACATATACAATTTTCCAAACAGTTTAAATTTTCAGCACAGTTGACAGATTTTGCACTGTGATATTGGTCATTCTCTGACTCAGGGCTGGATTTTATTAGCTTAAATTTTAATTGCTGCCATCTGGTATAGCTGAAAAGGCAGAAGTTAATAAAAGTTGCTCTGCAGAGAAAAAGTGCATTTAGCGAGAATTGCTGTCAGTATAATTATTCTCATACAAAGAAACGCTATCTCAGATCAATAATTAATTTCGTCGCTAAATAAAATAATTTAATACTGTTCGCTCTGCTCTTGTTGAAGGTTCTTCCATGTGCTAGGGCTTTGTATGACTATGAACCAAAAGAAGCTGGGTGAGTGCAAATATCTAATTTACCCTAAAGTTTTTGTTATTTTTATATCATGTTGCAAAGTTGCAAATTACATGTACTAACCAACAGCCTGTAATCAAAAAATTGTGGTTAATTTGTTGTGTTTTCATCAGTGAGAGCTTGGTTTGGCCTGACAAATTGAAACTTGTTAGGTAATTGGCTAGTCACTGGTGGCATGAATTGAATTGTATTGTAAAGTGAAGTATATAATTTCAAACAAAGTGTTAAATTTTGCTCTGTGAGACATTAAAAAGACTCAGACAAGTACTCTGATCAGTGGTCACAGGCCACATAGAGAACATACTTGCATGTGGTACCTTTTGTTACTGTACCTTAGTTTCCATGATAAAATGTGGGGAGAAAATTTGTTTGACGAGACTGCCTTCTTATTACAGTAGATCAAAATAATTACTTTTGGGCTGAGAAATGCTGGCCTGGGTTGGATCTAGGGGGAGGGTGCAAGGGGTGTGCACCCCCTGAGATGAAGCCTTCTTCTTAGTATTTGCTTTCATAATGTGTTTACCTCACCAGTCAGTTACATGTGTGCCATTCCTTTATAGTGTTATTGAAAAATAAAAAGATATTTGCAGGCTTGCTATAGCTAATCTCTAGAGCTTACTGTAAGTTCAGACACAAAACAACAAAAAATTATTTAAGAAGACATCACTCCTTAGTAACTAATTTTCTCCCCCCTTTATTCCCATTTTTAGTGATTTAACATTGCATAAAGGTGAAGTTATAACATTATTAAAACAAGTGGATGAGAACTGGTACGAAGGCCTCTGTAATGACCGCCAAGGATTCCTTCCAGCAAACTATGTCGAGGTAATTATGACCCTAATAACCCTAAAGGCACTGTAGAAATCAGTGGGAAAGCCTTCCTGCTTATAGACGTCAGGTTCAAAAGTTTTGGACCTATGGCACTAGCCGGAACTCTGCACACGTACACGTAGGTTTAATATATATTATGCACACATCAAGGGATGAATGGAAGGAGAGACCGACAGAGAGACAGACACACAGACACACAGACTTGTAGACAAATGTTTTTTTTTTTTTAGAAATATGTGCTGATTGATATTCAAAATTAGTATATTAAATTAATTTGTGCTCAACTTTTTTTAAATGAATTTGCTATTAATTTTGGGTTGTTTCAAAATTTGGTATTGATCACTTGAAATGGTTTGAAAAGGTTTCTAACCAACAATAATGTAACATGCTGTATATAACTCTGACACTTCCCTTGTCGTGTATCTTAATTCTTTAATTCTCATTTTCCAATTCAAAAATCTCTGTCAGGTGATCAATCCTCTACCAAGGCTAGATGATTCATGTGACAGACCTATAGCTAAAGCTTTATTTGACTTTGAAGATGAACAGGAGCAAGACTTGCTTTCCTTTAAGCAGGTAAATTCATGCATGTGCAATTCTGTAGAACTGCATAAAGTTTAGTACTTGGTAAACTAAGAATTTACATGTGAGTGTAAACACAGGACTCATATTTCTGAAGTCTTTGTGAAGTGGTTTTATATAGACCCACTATTGCACTCTGTGCATATATAGTTTTCCTTATGTTCTGTTCGCAAAAAAACAGTTTGAAGTTGGGCTGAAAATACTCCCTCAAGCGGATTAGATGTCGTGTAAGCAGACACAAATGACGATTCAGTTGTTTGTATCTATTTTAACTAATCGCTCTGTATGTTACTTATTATAATGGATATACAAGTATTAATCAGTATGGTATGTGGCAATTAGTCCCTGTCATTTAACTCATTGCAATTTTTTTTCTCGTTAAGGGCGACATAATAAGTGTCATGCGTCGCGTCGATGAAAACTGGTGTGAGGGAAAGCTAAATGGCAAGCTGGGGATTTTCCCAATAACATTTGTCGAGGTGAGGTGAAAGGTTTGACAACCTTGCTAGGGGATGAAGGAAAAGGAGAAATAGGCTGACATTACAGGTTTTAAAAAAACTTTCCTTGCCTTTGATGTAAGCATCATACATGTAATATGAATTATGGCATTGTATGCCTTGACACAAGTGTACTGTAGTCAGATCACAAACAATTGAAACAGTTTTTTTAAAAAATGTGCTTGAACAACTTCTGTTAATGTTTATGTATGTGTATGGAGTCAGGGAAAGGGAATTAATATGAAGTATGTCACTGTTTATGTGGAGGTGCAGTGGCCTCTTGGTTAGTGCACTCTTCTCCCGATTAAGCAGTCTGGGTTTGAGCCCTGGCCAGGGACATTGTGTTGTGTTCTTGGGCATGGCACTTTACTCTCACAGTGCCTCTCTCCATCAAGGTATCTAAATTGGTACTGGTGAATTTAATGCTAGGGGGTAACCCTGCGATGGACTAGCATCCCATCCAGGGAGGAGTAGAAATACTCCAAGTCGCTTTATGCTACAGAAACCAGGGTAAGCTTGTGCCTGGTGGGCCACTTGGCTCGTATGCAGACTTTACCTACCTACCTACATGTATGTCACTGTTTTGTTCACAGCTCAACGTAGCAGCCAGGAACCTGACGGAGGGAATTGAAAATGGATCAGATCAACCTTCAGGTGTGGCAAAACCAGCAAGAAAATCTCTGACAGGAGAAACAAGTAAAGGTGAACCCAAGAGACATACCATGCATTTTGTTGGGCAGCGGGATGGAGAAAGCCAACCAGTTGGTCTTCAGAGACGCTCACTTGATATTTCATCTTCTGAAAGGCTTGCGGACGACAACACCAGACAGGTGGGTGTGCAACTGGAAATGGAAACTCAAGCTTGAGGCTGGGTTTTTTCTCTGGCTCCTGCTTTCTCTATTAATAGTGGTTAGGTGTAGTAACATCTCTGTCATTCAAATAATATACATTTTAGAAGGTATAGGAATCTTGCTAATCAGAGGTACATCGGTTAGTTTTGTTTTTTCAGGTTATTTGATTTAGCATGGTGATTGAACAATACTGTGACTTGAGTTTGAAATTTCTAAATTTTAGAAATAGTTCTTTGTTCATGATATACTACTGATCATCATGAAAATAAACTAGTAGCCTGCTAACTAAATTCTGTGCTCACAGTGGGACTCATTTTGAAGTTCTTTCATGATTGCCCAGTACTTATATGTTATTATCCATGTTGTTTTCAAAGGCGACACCTCCCCCAAGTTCAACATCCAGTAGTACGGACACAGCACAATCATTAAACTCAAGGCGAAGTTCATCACCGTCTTCAGGCAGCCCAGCTCGTTCAGCTACGGGGAAGCAAGGGTCACCTTCAGAATCCAGCACTGGCGGCGGGTCACGACCAGTGTCTGCGGAACTGGGAAAAGAATTGTAAGTACATGTACACGGCACTATACATTAATGTGTTGTGTTCTTTGGCGAGTTACTTTGCTGTAACAGTTCCTCTCTCAGTGTATGTTTGTAGGCGGAATTTTGAGTTACTGAGAAAGATCTTTGTTTATTGGTTTGTCTCATTATCAACACAGTGTGTCTGTCATGAGACAAACAAAAATATTAAGTATTCATGAATTTCCATTTTGCTTTGAACAATAATTACTATGTCTGGAGTTCTGTGTAGTCATGGAAATAGTGTGTTGTCATGGGGTAAATATGTGCAAAGCGAGTATTGTGACGCTTTACCTACAGGCTTGTCAGAATACAGCAAAGTTTTTAAAAAAAGGTGCAGCGATACTTCACTCTAGCAAGTAATCACACAATCTACATGTATTTTTGGCTTGTTTGTGTGTAAAGATCTTGTAACCTTTGAGATACTGTTGTGCGTTAATCCCTCACTAAGTAGTTATTGTTTGTCAATTTTCTATGAATAGGTATGTGGCTCTGTATACTTACAAGCCAGCAAAAGACGATGAGTTAGAACTTGTCCGAAATGAAAACTACTGTGTGACAGAAAAGTGCAAAGATGGCTGGTTCAAAGGTTACTCTGTGTCTACTCAAAAGAGAGGAGTCTTCCCTGGAAATTATGTTCGTCTAGCCAGGTGTGTTAACAATTACTGGAACAAACTGTAACCAGAAAGTAGTCTACGAGCAGGCCCACCGTAGTAACCAAAAATGATAAAGCAGTACAAGTCTCCCCTCCCCCTCCCCCTCTGAGATTGAACCTGAGCTCTGTTTGTGTGTACATGTATGTCTAGTGTCTTAGATTGGTCGTAGCTTGCACACAAATTACAAAATACGACCTTGAAATGAAAACCTTAGGATAGAACCTTGCTACTTTTCAAACGTAAATTATCCTGTTATTATGCTAGCTAGTTTCTAGTCTCTGTCATCATAAGGTCGTCCATAATCTCGTTTTCATGCAGAGGCTCGGCTACCTATACATTTCACAGAACTGTGAAATGGTCCTTCCTGGTGTGGTTGGCAAAGAATTATGTTAACTGATATTTACCTGTGTTTTTGTAGTTTACACAATTTGCTAACACGATCGAGGAGTAGCAGTACAGACCAGGACAGCAGCATAACTGCTGCATCTCAGAGTAACGCTCAACCCAAGCCCCCGCCTCACCAGAGGCCACCGCCACCGAGACATGCAATGTCTGAGGGAGGGTCCCACGGGAGATTTTACCGGTCAGATTCTGCCCCACCCCAAAGGTCACCGCCAGTTATGCCAATGGAGAGCTTAGTGGTTAATTTAAATCAAGGAAGGAATCTTGCAGCAAACAGACACGTCGCCGAGGGACCCTCTGAGAGGAGCAGATTTGTACCCACGTCACCCCTTCCCCCTCCTCCAGCGCCCAAATCGGTATGATCAACGTTTGGTTCCGTTAATAAATGAGAGATGAGAAAGTTTTCAAGCAAAACAGTCATGAGAATAAACAAAATTATCCACTAGACAAGCAGATACTGTATTTAGTAACCTGAGTATAAACTGCAATATAACATTAAAACTAATGCTAGACAATATTTTACGGTAGGACGAAATTAGTATTTTACATGTGATACCAATCTTATTTTACATGTCATATCAGTTTTATTTCACATCTGATAGCAATTTTACTGTTAATTTTATAATAGGGATAAAACCATAAAACAAACTATTAGCTATCGATTTACCATATTTAGATTGGGAACGGGTGCTTCACTTAAAATGTGTTGTTGTATTTCCTTGTTACAAACGTCATGTAAAGTTAATAATACCCTCCTTGACAAGTTTTTCTTGTACTTGAATTTTCAGAGTAGTTTCTGGAAAAAGCTTACAGGCAAGAAGAAAGACAAGACAAGACCAAGTCCGCCCCCTCCGCCACCCCCTCCGTATCAAAGGTACTTCTCACAGATACTAATTAATTTTAACGGTCAAGTAATAAATACACTACTGCAAAGCATACAGGAATACCCTCGTAAACAGCATTAATATCTGTCGAAATCAATTCAGTGTAACGTTGGTCTGGACGCCTCTGAGATCGGCCTCACCCCAAGAGGAGTGAGTATGGTTGCTAAGTGATCTGGTAACCATGTTGGCAAAGCAACGTTAGGAGTATTCGTGATTTTGTGCAATAATTTATGATAAAACAAAAAAAATTGACACACAAGCCGTGCTGTGCACAGGTTTCCCTGTCTGAAGTAACAATGCAACGTTACGTTCTTTTCAGGAGTATTCCTGCCGGACATAGCGCACTATCTCCTCCTCCTTATGATTTTGGAGGGCTGCTGACGTTGTATACACAGGTCAGTGACTGTTGGTAGTGTAAATATATGTGGTCCTTTGTTTTAACCTGTGGTCTTCATCAATCATGTGGTAGTCTTTCTAAAACTCCCGAAAAAGCCTTAATAAAACCATGGGTTTTCAGGAGAAATTTGATTTAAATTGATCTTCGCTGAAACACGGTTGCGCTTACTTTAATATTTATACCTTTCCTTCATAGTACGTACCGGAGTCAAACAAAGGGGTTTGGGAACAAGGGAACAATATCATTTAGGGATATTTTATGGCTTGGTTTGAGGAATCAAGGGATATCTCTACTTTTAAAAGATGACCAAAAATTTTACGGAACAATGGAAGAAAAAGTGAAATTTTCAAGGGATCAAGGGAACATGCCATTCCTATACTACCCCCCCCCCCTCCCTCCCCTCCCGTCCCAGAGGCCCTCATGTCTCTGTTGTCAATATGGTGGAAAGATTTCACTTTTGATTGGTATATGTTTTTTTCCTTAGGTTCCAAGAGAAGAAGCTCCCGGACCCCAGTCGAGGATCCATCACAGAGTTGAAAACCCCCCTGTTCGAGAGAGGTTCGTGCAAAAATATAGCTCGTCAACTATCGTTATAAATCGCCCCTAGTGAGCAAGTCGCTCAACTTCGCATACGTAAAATGAAACTTACGTTGAAAGAGATTTCTCCGTAATGCTAGGGAAACACAAAGAATCATAGCCTAGGATATTTGAAGGTAATTACATAAATGAGCATCGCATCTTGACTCAGCTCTTTAAGCTCTTCCCTCTCCACTCTTCGCTCTCCAGTCGTGAATTTTTTTGCAAATGTGGTTGTAATTTTTTGCATACTCAACCAAATTCAAAACGAGCAAAGTACTGTTCTATGGCTATGGTCATGTTTCCCAAAGCGAGCATTAAAGAAAATTTGTCAAATGGTAACTGCTTTGGAATTAACTGGTTAATGTAGAGTGTATCTTTTGTTTTGGTTGTCAGGTATCGTGTTATCTCAGCTTATCCACCCCAACATGAGGCCGAGTTGGAACTTCGTGTTGGCGATGTTGTGTATGTAACGAAAAAACGACAAGATGGCTGGTACAAAGGGACAATGGAACGAAACGGGAAAACGGGGTTATTTCCTGGGAGCTTTGTGGACAACTTTTGATGTCAAACCGGAAAAAAGTAGCACATACATAGGTTGCAATCAGACAATGCCTTTACCTGGGTGTAGGAAAAACTTGGAATAGTTGAAGCAACTGACAACAGATATGAATTAACGGCTTTGGCCATCGGGAAAGATCGCTCATTGACTATCATAAAGACAGAGAGAGCCTGAGTGAATACTTTACATGGCCTGCAAGAGCCAGTGAACAGATGCTCTGATGGGGCGAATAACGAAAAGGACGATGGGCGAGTTTTCACAGATATCGGACAAATTTGCCCCATAACTCCCTAGGAGCGGCAATCCGTGCTCTCTCTGTTTTTATTTTTTTTATATTTTGGTCTGATTCGGGCGAGTAAAGAACCCCATCAGTGGCTGTTGTCGTTTACAAAGCTAAGTTTAGTGTAGTAGGTTGCAATGGTAGTAAACGAATATTTGAATTTTTACATACTCATAGATAGGAGTTTATAACAATTTTATGCCGGGAAACAAAAACCGTTCAATTCGCATACCTCGTCGAGAAATAATGTTCATTAGACTGACAAGGATAGAAATCGAACGCAAACACTGTACAAAGAATAATGATATTGATCTGCTGCTTTTCGAATGACGCTTTGCTGTAAATGTTACCAATCACAATTCTACGCCTTTTGTACTTTTTGCTAGCGATTCATATTCCTACATATGTACAATATTTCCCAGTGAAACTTAACTAAGACTAAATTGTCTTACACAAGATGTTGGGTGGCGCTTCAAATGACTAAGAATTCTTAGTTAGTTTTAATAAATTCAAATAAAAGTTACATGACTGTAAATCAAAATAAAAATTTTATATTAAGTTCGTGTACATTACACTTGTGCGTTTTAAGGGTGTACATTTTAAGACTGAATAATTGGTGGAACTTGAAATAAAAAAGGTGTCAATTGTAAACATGAATTTTTTTGCACTGGTTTGTTGTGGAATTTGGTATTACCCGCTATAAGATGTAAGTACCGCAGTGCGAATCGAACCCCGCCATCGCCTCGATGGTTGAGCGTTACAAGGCGTAGTTATGACCGTAATGGCAAGTGAAGGGCTGTGTTCCATGGTGCAATGCGGCCTTAATGTCAGATTTCTCATGGTTCAACGATGCAATTAACTAGCCGAAGACTGCCTCATCGACAGACTTTCCTTTTCTTTTGTTTTCTTTTTTCTTTTTTTTTTTGTTAGCGCAAAGAGCGTTCGGGAGATTGGGAGGGAACCAGAAAGCGCGAGCGGGAGTTGGTAATGAGCGAGGAAGCGAGCTCGGGAGAAGCTTGGGAGCGATTATTATATTTTTTTACTATCACGCGTGCGACTGGGGAGGAGGCAGAGCTGAATATACATTTTTTGGGGGAAATTCCACATTATTTGGAACTCACTTATTTCGACGCATAAACCACTTTGTACGATCGATGGCGCCTTTCTTTTGTCATAAACGAAGCAATTCATCTTGCTAGTCGCTCTTTACGCTAAAACCTACATTTTCCTTTCTTAAAATTAAGCTTTCCTTTTTGGGCATTTTTATCCATTAGTATGTTTTAGGCTTGTATTTTTTTCCATTTTGTCCAATGAATTTCCCGAAACTGATAAATCATGGCATAAAATTGTCAAAAAATTTGGCATTTTTTTCGTTGGCACCTGTTTGGCGATCAAATAAGACGCACTAAATGTAAGCAAAGAAAACATTGCCATTAACGCTGAATTGATCGAAAGCTTTAGAAAAACCGATGAATCAAATCCCATAGATTATCAATATTGCCTCTCATTTTGAGCCGCATACTAGAATTACTGCAGAGCTTAACCTTAAGGGCGCATTAAGACATAGCGTTTTAAGAGGTGGAAAGCTTGAAAGTCGTAAACACTTGTCTTTAAAGTAATTATTTAGCTTATCCTGTTACCATATTCAAATATTTTTCAGTTCTTTTATCGCTTCTTCTCATTAGATATTTTCGGTTTGTCCTTAAATTAATGGGCATTTTTCTATTCTATGTCGCAGCCAGACGGTACTAAGATTTACTTACATTTTCAATAAAGAGAAAATTTTGAACAACAAAATAGTGCTGCGAGAGGTTTCATTCACAGTTGTCTTGGTTCCGATTGATTCGATGGTAAACTATTAATTCAATAGTTTGAAAGCGAAGCACGTTAATTATAGATATTTTTCTGGCAAATGGAATAAAGATGATATATTGGGCTGCAACCACAGTGGTTAAAAGGTGAAGATTTCTAAAGACGAAATTTTAATTTAAAACTAGTTTGTCTTGCTCTCTGCTCGCAGCAAGATCTTCGCCTTTTCCTGGAAGTTTCGAAAGAGGTTCCCACCAGAAAGATAAATTTGAGCAGGTTTTGGCTAATATTTTGACAATGTAACTTATTTCACCGAGATCCGAGAAAGTCGCCATGGCAAATTGTATAACCGGCGGCCATATATTAATAGTGAGACGCCAAAGCTATATTCCAAGTTACTTTTCTGTTTATGAATCTCAATTACCAACCGACAATGAATATTCTGAATATAAATTGGGAACAGCTGAATCTGAGGTTGAAAGCTCGAGCTTTTATCTGCTGTATTCCAGAAACTCTGCGGCTGAAAGCGACTATTTCACTTTTCCAACGAGAAGATCGCCGGAAAATCTCATGGATTCTGGCATGCACACGACTAGGCTACTGAGCTCAGGTTTAGCGAAGAGATTTTCTTGCAATGTGAGCAAAATGGCGTATCGTATGAGGAATCGCATGGTTTGTGATGGATATTTCGGCTGCCCTGATGAACACATTTCTACAGAAAAAGGAAATGGTAAGATTTAAGCTATTTTAGCTATAAAGTATAAATATAAAAGAAAATAATGCAAGGTCAATTTCTAAAGAAAAAAAACGTAATGCAAAATTATTTTTGTGCCGTGTTAAAATTGCTTTAATATATAATTCATATCCGATTGTTTGGATTAACCATTTCGGAGCAAAGCCTGATGAAGTTGACAAGTTCACGAACCAACTGTAGCAGGAAAGATTGACTGATTTTTTCAGATTTTTCACCAGTAAAGATACTTAAATTCAATGCAAAAGAACATGGGAAGAATGTTTCAGGCTCAACCCTGCTGCTTTTTGTTCAAATCAAAACAAAGCCACAACCAATTCACGCTAGGATATGATATTGCGCTTGGTAGTATTAACCAATTTTGTGTTCAACTGCTCTGAAGTTATTTGTGCCTTTCTATACGATTTATCGATCGAAGGCTTGCTAAATTTGGAATTTAAGTTTGGATTTATTTTTTTTATTTCCTTTATGCTACAAGCAGAAAAGAATTGATTGAAACGTGGTAGGAGGTGACGGTTGGTGGCTTGTTGATCAATCTTTAACCTAAATGAAGCGAAAATTGTAAAGAAAGCGACAGACATGATCAAAGTTTTATTTCACTCGTTCCCAGGATTGCGCACAGAAAGAATTTTCAAAATTGCAAAAGCGCTGGCTCGATTAAATTTCGTCGAAACAACTGACTCCGAATGGCTTCAGATTGAATTGTATGCTATTCTGAATATAGAAATGACTGGGTTGTCGTTTTCTTTGTAATTCGCAAAAATTTCATACAGTTCCGAAGGTGGCGGGGATATTTAAGTTTAATTTGCCCCGATCAGTTCTTAAGTCTCTTTCTGTATTGCTTAGCTTACTAGTTGCAGCACTGAAAAGTATTTTCTTTTTTTTTTTTTCTGCCTTCTTTAGTCGCATCCTTAAAAAGAGGGAAACCGGTTTGCATTCTTCCCTGGAAGAAACGACAAAGATGCGCCAAAGCGAAGAAAAAGCATGCGGGCAAAAGCGTCAAAACTGAAGTGCAAACATCTAAAGTGGACTGCGTGATCTCATCCTTGGAACGCACAAAAGTGTCAGGCATCAAGACAAAGGGTCACGTGACCAGAAACCAGCACAGTAGTGGAACTAAGTCCCACCCTGCCATGTTCTACAGTTATTACATTGCCAAGGGTAACGCCCTTCAATATCGCAAAATTTGCGCGCCAAAACGGCGACCGTGTGATGGTTTCTTCGGCTGCTACGACGAAGGGAGCATCCGAGGAAAGAAAGCAGGAACAGGTAGATTTAACTGCGCCATTATCGGTATGAATTTGATTTAAGAACGAACGTGGTAGATAGTAAATTTGAAAGGTGTCTTTTGTTATCACCAGGCTCCCATATGATCAGTGTTAAGTAATTCTGCGTACTGTATCTCAGAAAACGTTTGTCAACTACTATGAAATCCTGTTGAAGTTGCCCGTTTGGCCTTGGGAAACTTCTCAGAAACTGTTTATAGTTTATCTTGATTTTAGTGGATATGATAAAGGGCCTCTCTTGCTCGATCTTCAGATGAAGACCCAGTATTGACCATCATGCTTTTCGTGTGTCTGTTATTACTTTAGTCTACATGATAGCGAGGTTTCTATTATTTTCCAATGCTCAACAGCGCGTAATGCATCTTGGAAAAAAACTTGGTCTTTAAGAAAGATCATGCCTTGTTCGCTGGAGTTAAGACCGAAGTTCTAAGACGAAACTTTATTGCACATTAACTCTACCGGTTCTCCACCTTCCGTAAGGGAAGATAATCCTGGGAGACACTCTGTGTTTGCACCTATCCCCAGTCTATGAACAAATCAACATGCGAGAGCCAATTTGTTATACGGACTTCAGCTTGAATATTTTATGATCAACAATGCAAGTCGTAAGCTATGCTGTTTAATATTCTGTTTGTTTTCAGTTTCAGGAAAAAGAAAGCCCATTCCAAAATACTAATTGGAAACGATAATTAACGTTACAGTTGTCCTTACACAGTGGTCAGTCTCGTTTTGTTATGAAAGACTCAGTCCACAGAAATGCGAAGGACAGAAAAGCTAACGGAGTGGGACTTGATTGGTTTTATGCACGGTAACAGAACAGTATCAGGATGGGACCTTACAGAAGAGCTCTTTTTCTAAGGTTGAAATAACGGTGAACCTTAGTCATTTTTACATGATGATATGAATTTTATCGTTTAGTCGCTTCATAAAAGCGCTCCTTAAATATATGCAGAACAACAATAAAATTTTGGAATTAATATAACATATTGACAACATAACTCGTTGACAAATAAACACAGTGTATATATATGAAATGGATAATAAATCAAACTATGTGCTAGATGCTTAAATCTAAAAAGCAAAACTAACTTTTCCATCAGTGGACAAAAGTTATATTCTATATCAAAACCGAGAACAACAACCAGAAAGTCAGTAGAAAATCGCCGCTGGTTTTAACAGTAAGAAAAGATGGATTCTCCTATGTTAAACTACATAGCTCTCAAGACGGTCTCGAGTAAGCTTGATTAATGAGAGATACCGACATAAGAGCTTCAACCTGCTGTCCACATGTCTTCAAGGGCTGTTTAACCGCCAATAACGCACTGTGATTGGTTAATGAATTCTTAATTGTTGGTCCCTTCAGCTGTTCCATCAGTCGCTTTCAACCTTTTATTTTTCAGCGCTAGATTCCTTTTTTCTATTTAACAAGGTCCTTTTACCTTTGATAATTTGCATTGATCGCCGACATGGAGATGTTCATAGTGGTTATACGTACCGCACTAAAATCCCAAGAAATATTGAATTTTTCAATTTTAAAACCCAGTAAGAGTAAGTCATCTTAGTGATTATCAATCCAAGAATTATTCATGAATGTTTTTGCGAATAGCAGACTAGGAATAATGAATAGCCGTGGATAAAATATTCCTCTTCAAACTCCGAATTTATTAACACGCTTTTTTTAAATTTCTGAAATCTTGTGAGTAAGTTTCTGTGGGGTTATAGTTCTAATTGTCCCCGCGCTTTCTCCTGGTTACTCCAATTCTTCGATGATCTGCAAGGGGACACCTCGAGAAATGCCCAGATAAGAACTTACAGCGTTTTCGGCAGGTAAAACCCGATTTGGTGCCTCTGATCTCTTCAATATCGACAAAAACTTTTTGCGAAAAGATGGATTCATAGCGCCGTAAATCCACGGGTTCACAGCACTGTTGGCGAGCAAGCCGTACGGAATGGCAAGGGCAAGCTGCCGAGGCAGAGTTTTTCGGAGCACACCACGAAATAAAATAACGACAACAAACGTTGGCAACCACAGAACGATAAAGGAAACAACTAAGACGAAGAAAGTCTTCGTGAGATTGATCTCCTGTGCACTCAAACCACTGTTGTTGGACAAATGATCCCTGTGTTGGCGGAGAGACTTTGAGACAAAGTAGTAAGAAAGCGCCACGATGACAAAACTGGTAACTACGAATGACACCATGACAAAAACGGTAAATCCAGTCTCAGAGGTCAAAGAGTTAAAATGCAAACTGCACGAGGCCATTTGGGAACTAAAGTCCATACTGGCCCAACCTAAAATTAACGGAAATAAAATAACCATTGCTATAAATATCCACAACGAAGCCAGGAAGATCGCGGAGCGTTTGCTTGTGAAGATTCTTTTGTAGATGTTTGGCTTTACTACACAGAAGTAGCGATTGACAGCGATTAAGTCCATGGTACTAACCGAAGCCAAGGTCAAGAACTGCATGAAAAACCCACTGATGGCGCAGCCTGTAGAACTGTATGGCATCTTCCCGGTGATAAGAGAAGACAAGAACAGTGGCCCAGGAACGAGAGCATTTATTAAATCTGTTGTCGCCAAAGCGGCGATGAACAAGCTAGTTGTGGTGCTTAGGCGGGGCTTTTTGAATACTACAGTAATGACCATCGCATTGCCAACGAACGACAGAATAAGAAGTAAAATGCATATCAATGATTCCAGGACAACAAGTTCACTTCGTCTAAAGGGAATCTGGTTTGTCATTTCTCTCAAGAACTTCAAGAGGACCAGGATTAACTGCAGAGAAGTAATGTTTTCCGCGACAACTTGCTTTCGATTTACCAGTTTGCAAATTGTCAGAGGCTGCTTACTTCTCTGTAAATAAAAACAAGGTGACGAGTCCGTAAATCTTCATAATCCTTTTAATTGAAGCATCTATTAGCTCCGAGTTCTTTGAATTAATCTTTGAAGATGAAATATTTTCAACTGCGTGTTGCCTCATCTAAGCTTCACACGATCTCTTGTGTGAGTGGCTCATAAAAGAGTCCAATAACTGTAAAACCATACATACAGAAACCAAAAAAGTTATGTCAAAACTAGGAAATGAAGGACGTTTGATGAAGGGAAAAGAAACTATGCCTTTTTGTTTTTTTTTTTGGTTCGATCGTTTGTCAATCTGAGTTTCAATAACTGATGCTACAATTGAAAGCTACTAATCCATGTTTTTGCAATCTACAGTTACATCTCCGATATTTTTTTAATTTGAGCCACGATGTAGGAACAAAACAAACGCGATTGTTCAAAGTAATCCGAGATTAACATTGATGAAATTTGATTTTTTTAACTACTATACAAGACATATTAGAAACTGAAAAACTTTCTGTTTCTGATAAGCGTTTGTCAGTCTGAGTTTGAATAACTAATGCTACAACTGAAAATTGCTAATCCGTGTTTTTACAATCTACTATTACATCTGCGACTTTTTTCTTAATTGAAGTTGCTATGCAGGAACAAAACAAACACGGTTGTCCAGAGTAATCCGGGATTATTACCAACAAATTTTGATTTCTTTTTAACTTTTAGTTGCCACTTTCCACAAAAAATAGCAGAACCAAAATGAGGAAACTATTTTTAAATTCAACCCATCCCAGGGTAAAAAAAAGTGCCAAAGCAAAAACCCTTTCCTTCAACTTTTATGTTCCCAACCATTTGATTAATTTTACAAAGTATCGATCGATCTATTACTTGTCGATAAAATCAGCGGTTTAAAGGTTCTTAATGGATTTGACGTCACTCCGTCATATTATTACTGCACGGATATGACCACATCAAGCCGAAAACAACCAGCAAAAATTCTGTTGTTCATGTTTGTGCTCCAAACGCTCGAACTTTGTGTGATCATATCAATATTTCCTTAATGCAAGTACAAACAAATACCCATCTTGACCATACCAAGCCATGCCAGGTTTCATCTCGATTTGTTTTTTTAAACAAACCACAATCTGGGCTTGAACAATTAAAGAACAATTTATTAGCTCTCTTAGACAGTTGGTGAGCTATTTGAAGAAAAGGTTAGGTTACGCTGCAGGAAACAAGACCAAAAGAGTAGTACAGAGCAAGAGAAATTCAAGGGAAACAGTGAGTTTTATTTCCCCTCGACCTCAATGTTCCCCGAGGCTTCTCGGGGAACATTGAGGGTCTCGGGGAAACAATACTCACTGTTTCCCTTGGCGCCAGTCATTAAGTGTTTTGTTATACTCCCAACTCAAAACTAGAAAAAAGAAAAAAAAAAAATCCAAGAAATCGTTTGCTTGACGCCGGCTGGCTTACAAATTTGCCGCGGTTTCAAGGAGCACGACCTGATCACGTGTGAGTCGAAGGTTCAAGTTGCTGTTTCCCTGGGAGTTAGTGAGTTTTGTTCGCCCTGGGAGTTAGTAGTTTTGACCCACGACACGTGACACGTTCTCCTCCAATCGGAAAACGTATTTGAGTTCGGAGGTATAANTATATATGAAATGGATAATAAATCAAACTATGTGCTAGATGCTTAAATCTAAAAAGCAAAACTAACTTTTCCATCAGTGGACAAAAGTTATATTCTATATCAAAACCGAGAACAACAACCAGAAAGTCAGTAGAAAATCGCCGCTGGTTTTAACAGTAAGAAAAGATGGATTCTCCTATGTTAAACTACATAGCTCTCAAGACGGTCTCGAGTAAGCTTGATTAATGAGAGATACCGACATAAGAGCTTCAACCTGCTGTCCACATGTCTTCAAGGGCTGTTTAACCGCCAATAACGCACTGTGATTGGTTAATGAATTCTTAATTGTTGGTCCCTTCAGCTGTTCCATCAGTCGCTTTCAACCTTTTATTTTTCAGCGCTAGATTCCTTTTTTCTATTTAACAAGGTCCTTTTACCTTTGATAATTTGCATTGATCGCCGACATGGAGATGTTCATAGTGGTTATACGTACCGCACTAAAATCCCAAGAAATATTGAATTTTTCAATTTTAAAACCCAGTAAGAGTAAGTCATCTTAGTGATTATCAATCCAAGAATTATTCATGAATGTTTTTGCGAATAGCAGACTAGGAATAATGAATAGCCGTGGATAAAATATTCCTCTTCAAACTCCGAATTTATTAACACGCTTTTTTTAAATTTCTGAAATCTTGTGAGTAAGTTTCTGTGGGGTTATAGTTCTAATTGTCCCCGCGCTTTCTCCTGGTTACTCCAATTCTTCGATGATCTGCAAGGGGACACCTCGAGAAATGCCCAGATAAGAACTTACAGCGTTTTCGGCAGGTAAAACCCGATTTGGTGCCTCTGATCTCTTCAATATCGACAAAAACTTTTTGCGAAAAGATGGATTCATAGCGCCGTAAATCCACGGGTTCACAGCACTGTTGGCGAGCAAGCCGTACGGAATGGCAAGGGCAAGCTGCCGAGGCAGAGTTTTTCGGAGCACACCACGAAATAAAATAACGACAACAAACGTTGGCAACCACAGAACGATAAAGGAAACAACTAAGACGAAGAAAGTCTTCGTGAGATTGATCTCCTGTGCACTCAAACCACTGTTGTTGGACAAATGATCCCTGTGTTGGCGGAGAGACTTTGAGACAAAGTAGTAAGAAAGCGCCACGATGACAAAACTGGTAACTACGAATGACACCATGACAAAAACGGTAAATCCAGTCTCAGAGGTCAAAGAGTTAAAATGCAAACTGCACGAGGCCATTTGGGAACTAAAGTCCATACTGGCCCAACCTAAAATTAACGGAAATAAAATAACCATTGCTATAAATATCCACAACGAAGCCAGGAAGATCGCGGAGCGTTTGCTTGTGAAGATTCTTTTGTAGATGTTTGGCTTTACTACACAGAAGTAGCGATTGACAGCGATTAAGTCCATGGTACTAACCGAAGCCAAGGTCAAGAACTGCATGAAAAACCCACTGATGGCGCAGCCTGTAGAACTGTATGGCATCTTCCCGGTGATAAGAGAAGACAAGAACAGTGGCCCAGGAACGAGAGCATTTATTAAATCTGTTGTCGCCAAAGCGGCGATGAACAAGCTAGTTGTGGTGCTTAGGCGGGGCTTTTTGAATACTACAGTAATGACCATCGCATTGCCAACGAACGACAGAATAAGAAGTAAAATGCATATCAATGATTCCAGGACAACAAGTTCACTTCGTCTAAAGGGAATCTGGTTTGTCATTTCTCTCAAGAACTTCAAGAGGACCAGGATTAACTGCAGAGAAGTAATGTTTTCCGCGACAACTTGCTTTCGATTTACCAGTTTGCAAATTGTCAGAGGCTGCTTACTTCTCTGTAAATAAAAACAAGGTGACGAGTCCGTAAATCTTCATAATCCTTTTAATTGAAGCATCTATTAGCTCCGAGTTCTTTGAATTAATCTTTGAAGATGAAATATTTTCAACTGCGTGTTGCCTCATCTAAGCTTCACACGATCTCTTGTGTGAGTGGCTCATAAAAGAGTCCAATAACTGTAAAACCATACATACAGAAACCAAAAAAGTTATGTCAAAACTAGGAAATGAAGGACGTTTGATGAAGGGAAAAGAAACTATGCCTTTTTGTTTTTTTTTTTGGTTCGATCGTTTGTCAATCTGAGTTTCAATAACTGATGCTACAATTGAAAGCTACTAATCCATGTTTTTGCAATCTACAGTTACATCTCCGATATTTTTTTAATTTGAGCCACGATGTAGGAACAAAACAAACGCGATTGTTCAAAGTAATCCGAGATTAACATTGATGAAATTTGATTTTTTTAACTACTATACAAGACATATTAGAAACTGAAAAACTTTCTGTTTCTGATAAGCGTTTGTCAGTCTGAGTTTGAATAACTAATGCTACAACTGAAAATTGCTAATCCGTGTTTTTACAATCTACTATTACATCTGCGACTTTTTTCTTAATTGAAGTTGCTATGCAGGAACAAAACAAACACGGTTGTCCAGAGTAATCCGGGATTATTACCAACAAATTTTGATTTCTTTTTAACTTTTAGTTGCCACTTTCCACAAAAAATAGCAGAACCAAAATGAGGAAACTATTTTTAAATTCAACCCATCCCAGGGTAAAAAAAAGTGCCAAAGCAAAAACCCTTTCCTTCAACTTTTATGTTCCCAACCATTTGATTAATTTTACAAAGTATCGATCGATCTATTACTTGTCGATAAAATCAGCGGTTTAAAGGTTCTTAATGGATTTGACGTCACTCCGTCATATTATTACTGCACGGATATGACCACATCAAGCCGAAAACAACCAGCAAAAATTCTGTTGTTCATGTTTGTGCTCCAAACGCTCGAACTTTGTGTGATCATATCAATATTTCCTTAATGCAAGTACAAACAAATACCCATCTTGACCATACCAAGCCATGCCAGGTTTCATCTCGATTTGTTTTTTTAAACAAACCACAATCTGGGCTTGAACAATTAAAGAACAATTTATTAGCTCTCTTAGACAGTTGGTGAGCTATTTGAAGAAAAGGTTAGGTTACGCTGCAGGAAACAAGACCAAAAGAGTAGTACAGAGCAAGAGAAATTCAAGGGAAACAGTGAGTTTTATTTCCCCTCGACCTCAATGTTCCCCGAGGCTTCTCGGGGAACATTGAGGGTCTCGGGGAAACAATACTCACTGTTTCCCTTGGCGCCAGTCATTAAGTGTTTTGTTATACTCCCAACTCAAAACTAGAAAAAAGAAAAAAAAAAAATCCAAGAAATCGTTTGCTTGACGCCGGCTGGCTTACAAATTTGCCGCGGTTTCAAGGAGCACGACCTGATCACGTGTGAGTCGAAGGTTCAAGTTGCTGTTTCCCTGGGAGTTAGTGAGTTTTGTTCGCCCTGGGAGTTAGTAGTTTTGACCCACGACACGTGACACGTTCTCCTCCAATCGGAAAACGTATTTGAGTTCGGAGGTATAACAAATGAGATTATTAGTGTGGTAGCGGTAATTATTATGATAAAAAGTAGTGACATATGATGTCAAGTTGTTATACGGCGGCAAATTTGTGTGCCAGCTGGCGTCAAACAAATCATTTTTTCGCACGTTTTTTTCTATTTTTGAGCTGGAAGGTAAAACAAAACACTTTATGACTGGCCCCACGGAAACACTGAGTTTTGTTTTTCCTCGACCCTCAACGTTTTCCTTAGCTCTGCCTCGAGGAACATTGAGGAACAAGAGGAGACAAAACTGACAGTTTCCCTTGGGGTCAGTCATTAAGTGCTTTTATTATACGGCCATAGCTCCGTGAGCTGGCAAGATTAACCAAAACCTACGCTATGATTGGCTACCCTAGCGGGCATGATGGTTGTATCTTGTTCGCTCTGAACCAGCCGCTGTGTCCCGCAAAAAAACTTTCCCTGAAAGCCATATAATAAATCCTTGTTGACCAAGCGTGAGGTCAACATGGCTGGATATTGGCTTTGCCCCTTTTTTGCGTGTTTATGGACCTCGACTCCGACTCGGTCCATAAACATCCGAAAAAGAACTTTGCAAATATCCAGCCATCTTGACCTCACGCTTGGTCAATAACCCACATGTTGCCCTCCACTGCCACCTTTATCTCTGGAGGAAAAATGAGAGACAGCTTTCTGGCGGAGGGTATTATTTGATTCATAAAAGTATAAATTATACTTACAAGACCAGGAGCCATAATTACGACTCCTGACACGAATTCATTTTGATTATTTGATTTTTGAATCAGCTTGTGCCAGGATCTCACCATTAATACTAGAAAGAGAAAAAGCGTGTGTAACCTTTTGTTTGATACCACCAGTTTTTGGGAGCCTAGGTAAAACCTATTGTTCTAATGAAGCTGTCAACGGAACTGACAAGAAAATAACTCTACCATTTACCCAATAATCATCCAAAGGGGATCAAATTAAAAATATCGGCTTTTCAGCAGCTGCTAGAAATTTCCAGCTAATTTGTTTCAAAACAGTTGCAATCTGTCCAGCTTTCTGTTTCAGGCTCATTATTTTGTTGTTGCTGAGGAAGAGGAAACAATACTGCTTTTAGCTGACAGAAGACAGACGCAGTCCTGGATTGTCATCCACAAGGTAATTTAAAACAATGATTCATCTTTTTTTACTTAAAACTTCCATCCATAGCATTCATAGTTGCCGAGATGCTAAACGTTTGGCTATCTAATCGTAGAATGAAAATAAAGGGATGTTTTTCTTCAAGATAAAGCGCTTGCGCTTACCTTTAGTTTTTGAAAGATCTAATTAGCATTTGCGCTTTGAACGTTACGGTACGTTTCCTTGTTTGAAAGAAAAAAAGACCACTCATAACATGGAATTGAAAATAATTTGCCTGCAAAGAAACATTCTTTTGATTCACTTCTTCCAAGTTAGTGCTTTTACCTCTCTGAAGACGGGAAATAATCCAAACGAGAAGAGACACACAATGAAGTAATCTATTCCGCACCTGCCTTGCTACAAAGTAACTAGTGAGTTCCAGTCCGAGAAAAGCGCAAAAGAAGCAATGGTAAACCAAAAAAGACAGAGTAAAATATAGTAAAGATTGGGCAAGATTAAACCAAAAGTTTAAAAAAGCAATTGTAAAATAAATGTATCAGTAAGCATTTCAAAATTACCAACTTTGGCTTGACCATGCATCCGGCACTTTCTATAACCACGCTTGTAACACATTAAATTGGAATCCTGCCAAAAGCTAGAGAATATTTTAAGTTTCGTTTCAGAGCTTAGTCGAGCTTAAAGAAACACCTGCTTTTGAAATTTTTGAATGAAAGTGTGATAGGGACGTTAGCTCTCTTGCTGCATAGTAAGTCCCTGTTTATTTCAAACAACCTGAAAGCTTTTCTCATCGTTTCATAGGAATGATGGCTCTTTAGGAAATACAACCTTTACGTGGTTAAGGACAAAATGTTTTTTTCCATATTGGAAATGCTTGCCCAGCTGTTCCTGTTAATGTGGATTGGACACAATGGCGCTCAGGCGGTACCTGGTGGGTCGATAAAGGCTGTTTGTGTTTTTTTCTTGAAGGATAAGAGCTTAGATTTGTTAAAACTAAGTGGCATGCCTGTGAACTACCTAGGTGTAGCAAAGCGCATTGACCACTATAAACAACAACATTTGAACATTTTTTTTTTGAACATGCCAACTTGCTTATGAGGAGTTCCATAAACATACTTGGCTTATTTTTGTCCGGTTTAATATTATCATTACTAGTGAGTTGTGGTCATAATTGATTGTATTCGCTGCACTGCACTTACTCTGAACTAATAAGATGAATAAAAGCAAGGTTATAACGCTCAAATACAGTTTGTTTAAGCTCCATATTTAGTGCTTGACCACTATTTATATGTTCGTAGTATTGTTATTTTCTTTTGGTAATTGCTCCCGCTTTGAATACGGTATCAGTGTTACCTGCGGAAAGAAAGCGCATTTATTCTTCACATGTATAATAACTATGCTAATGGCGAGTAAAGGTTGTTGTTGTTGTTTGATCCAGTTTTGCATACAAGATGGGCCAATGTTAACAACAGAAAGGTTAGAGGGCCATGGGTCCTAACGTTTTCGCTGAAACGGTGCTCAGCCCGGTCCCGCCGTCGTTGAATTATTTTTCCTTGTCTTGAAGAGGAATAAAAAAAATGCAAACAAGCAAGCAAGCAAACACTGAAACAAACAAACAAACAAACAAATGTTTTCTTTGATAGATTGTGGCTCAGTAGTAAACAATACCATTAAAAGTCCTGGATATCCAAGCTACTACCCTAACAGTATTGACTGCAATTATTCGATTCCAATTCCAAACGGTCTGGTTATGGAAATTAATTTTCACGACTTTGTCGTCGAAGATCATCGACATTGTGGGTAAGTGACGACGCAAACACATGTCACTGTATCGCTATCATTGTAAAAGCTGTTTGTAGAAAATGTGGCTCAAACTTTGGTTAGGCCCATGGAGAATAAATTTTTTGTTAACTTACTAGCTAATTTAATAGAAGAAGCTTTTAAACCTCCAGACTCTTATACACTTTTTTTCATGAAAGCATGATCATGGAAATAAAGAGGCTGATATAGTACTAATTATTTATAGATACGACTATTTGATAATCAGCAATGAAGATGGCCACACATTTGGAGTGTACTGTGGTGATAGAACCGGCAAAAAAGTTCTTGTGACCGGAGACCTCGTCGTAATAAAATTCCACTCTGACCGTTCTGCCCCAAGACGAGGATTCGTCATGGTGTTTACTGCCGTTTCACTAGGTGAGCTAGCCTGCTATGCAGGCATTTTCCGTGTGTTCACGAATTATAGCGGTATTAGCTCGCGATCGAGTAGATTCGCCGCCATGTTGGTTGAGAAAAAGTGGGCGGGAAGGGAGTGGGGGAAGAAGAGGAACAAAAAGCTCCACACCGCACCATTCAGAGACTCTGTAATTGGACGAACGGCGTTTCTCGAAGAAACAGTGACCTCCGGCAGGTGTATTTTTCCTTCCCCTCCCCTTTCCCGTTACTCCTCTTTCAGCCTAACACCCACTCCCTAGGACACCTTTTCGTCTCTCCCCGAGTCTCTTCCGAGTTTAAATCCAAGATGGCGCTCTCTTGGTCAAAATGCGCTCGATCGATCGCCAAAATACGCCTGCATTGCAGGCTATAGGTAAGCATAAAATAAAACATAGTTTTCAGCTTTTTACCTCTGCCCTATCAATACAAGTGGAATCTGCATGTAGAAACTTTTCACATTCACCCAAATGCCACCTAGATTTGTGGCCTTGTCTGAAATATATCTGGAGACAACTCGATATGAACGTCGTTCATCATGATGGTAGCCACAATACGACGGGCATTTTTTTTTTTGTAAATTTTTAATTTTGCATTTTCCTGTTTTTTTTTTTTTTTAATTGAAATAAACTTCCTTTTACATTCTTTTACATTTATTTTTTCATTGTTTTGTTAGTTTTAATTTGTTCTAAACCACCTTGAGTGGTGTCTAACGCCGTAGAGAAATCAGACAATCTAAATAGGGCAATCAGAATGCCATGCAGCTATATAAAAATTTAAAAATAATATATCTATAAGCGTAAAATGTATCGCTCACAATTGCCTTTCATCCTCACAGGGAATGGTACACAATCATTGCCTTTGAAAGGTAAGCAATGTTGAGAAGTGATAGTTAAACTTAAACGCCTTCTTTAACTCGGGGATAAGGGATATGGCCAAAAATTATCAAATTTCGGGTCCAGCAACAGAATGCATGAGAATATTTTCTGGCTAGAGGTCCAATGACGCAAGACTGGTTAGATTACTTGGTGCGCAAGATGCGGCGTACGTAATTAAAAAAGTAGAAATTTTCAAGTTAAAATTTGATATTATTAGTAAAGCTAGAAATCTTCGATCTTTCTCGATGAAGTACCCTAGACAGAAGCAACAAATAGTACCAATAAAAAAAATATAGTTACCTTGCTCCAAGGGCGGTGTAGCGAACTGAGTGCTGTGCAACGCTGTCAATTTACATGTAGAAAGCTGATTCCCTCCAAACACGTGCACTTTGCTCCAACAGAGTGTGGATCAGTGGTAAACAACTCACTGGAAAGTCCCGGATATCCAAACAACTATCCAGACAATACACACTGTGTTTACGAGGTTCCTATTCCACAAAACATGGAGATTAACATTTACTTCAGCGACTTTGAAGTGGAGCAGGGTCCATTTTGCAGGTAATAAATAAGTGATGAATTAATCAGCTATAAAGCGGTTTTCAGAGAGTAATCAGGCAATTACTTTGGTTCTGGTTTGGTTTTACTATGGTTTGAGATTTGGCAAGTGGTCTAATTGGTAAGTAATTGATTTGGTTTTGGTTTTAGGACAACCGCTCTGGCATGGTTACGCAATTCGGAAAGCTTATTACCCAACTGCACTCGGTTGAATGCAGTTTATTGTTCCAAAATTAATTAAATCCTATGTACTTGTACTTAAGCGCAATGAGGCCCTTTGTCTGGTTCCTGTAGACTACGTATTCCTTATTATCTCGAAAGAACAACACAATCCTCGTATTACAAATTTTAGTGTGTTATAACATTTACAGATTTTTACCCGTCGTTGTAAAAACATGTGAAACCACACCACGCGTCAAAAGTGTCGTACACTGAATATAATTGACTTTAGCGAGGTGTTATTGATGTAACTATACCATAGCTACCCATGACGCGCTCATGATCTGTATCATGCTGTAAACAAAGATTTAGTATGTTTCATAATAAATTATTTTGGGGTCGGCCTTCTAAGCTTGCGAAGAATTCAATGCAGAAAAGTGGGTTTATAGACCCTTTTCATAAATGGCTGCCAATTATAAATTCTTTTGTAAGTATTAAAATTCGCCCGACTGACCTCGTTTTTGAGTTGACAATTCAAAAGAATTGTTACTCCCAAACGAGTTTAGTGAGGCTAATTTAAATGAATACAAAAGAATTCTAAATTAGCAGCCATTTATGAAAAGGGTCTATTAGCTTCTCGCAGGGCGTGTATAGGAGGTCAGTGGGCGCCTTTGGGTGTGTTTTCTAATGATATCTTGCTCGCAAAATATTTCATGTCACATTGTGTCATTGTAGCTACGACTATGTGCAGATTATCAATGACAAAAATGAGACAATTGGAGTGTATTGTGGCTCGCATACGGGACAGGACCTCCGTTTAAATGGTCGCCACGTGATTCTAATATTCCATTCAGACTACAGCCTTCAGGAAAGAGGATTTCTGATAGCACTTAGATTTAGTCCAATCTGTAAGTAAAATAAAAGATGCAGCTTGTTCCTCCTCTGTAGAGATTTTGATTTGTTGTTTACGAAGCATGCTTTGCTGTCCAGTGACATTCAGAAAGCAGAAATCGAATGCGGAATGAAATTTGCAGTGATTAGCTGTTGTTTAGCACCCGAAGTCTCAATATACTCAATATTCTAGACGATCGCTTGGAGATTTTAAAACTGTGACCAAATAGAGAGATCCATACATCGTAGACTTTCACACACTACCAAAGGCCGCTAATAAGTGGCATCTCAGCCAAAAGTGAAGCAACTGTGCAAGGGCGGGGGCGTGCTCCCTCACATGGGCTATATAGGTATGTACGGCCCCAAAGGGGATAGATTTTCAGCTGTTTTGGTCAGAAAAAGGGTATCGATTTTGGCCATTTTGGCCCTAAATAGGATATGGGTTTTACACTCTTGTCGTGGATTGGGTGTGTTTTTTTTAGAAGAAGCTACTTTTTTCATCATTATCGATAGGACCATCATCAAAAGCTCTTCATAAATGTTTAGGGCAGCTATGCCAGCTGCAACGGCTATAAATAGGGCATTGAATTTTTGGTCAGGTCATCAATAGGGAAGGGAAAATCGCAGATTTTGGTCATAGATAGGGTGAGNAAGTATTAAAATTAGCCCGACTGACCTCGTTTTTGAGTTGACAATTCAAAAGAATTGTTACTCCCAAACGAGTTTAGTGAGGCTAATTTAAATGAATACAAAAGAATTCTAAATTAGCAGCCATTTATGAAAAGGGTCTATTAGCTTCTCGCAGGGCGTGTATAGGAGGTCAGTGGGCGCCTTTGGGTGTGTTTTCTAATGATATCTTGCTCGCAAAATATTTCATGTCACATTGTGTCATTGTAGCTACGACTATGTGCAGATTATCAATGACAAAAATGAGACAATTGGAGTGTATTGTGGCTCGCATACGGGACAGGACCTCCGTTTAAATGGTCGCCACGTGGTTCTAATATTCCATTCAGACTACAGCCTGCAGGAAAGAGGATTTCTGATAGCACTTAGATTTAGTCCAATCTGTAAGTAAAATAAAAAATGCAGCTTGTTCCTCCTCTGTAGAGATTTTGATTTGTTGTTTACGAAGCATGCTTTGCTATCCAGTGACATTCAGAAAGCAGAAATCGAATGCGGAATGAAATTTGCAGTGATTAGTAGTTGTTTAGCACCCGAAGTCTCAATATACTCAATATTCTAGACGATCGCTTGGGGATTTTAAAACTGTGACCAAATAGAGAGGTCCATACATCGTAGACTTTCACACACTAACAAAGGCCGCTAATAAGTGGCATCTCAGCCAAAAGTGAAGCAACTGTGCAAGGGCGGGGGAGTGCTCCCTCATATGGGCTATATAGGTATGTACGGCCCCAAAGGGGATAGATTTTCAGCCGTTTTGGTCAGAAAAAGGGTTTCGATTTATTTTCTGAATAGGGTATGGGTTTTACACTCTTGTCGTGAATTGGGTGTGTTTTTTTTAGAAGAAGCTACTTTTTTCATCATTATCGATAAGACCATCATCAAAAGCTCTTCATAAATTATGTTTAGGGCAACTGTGCCAGCTGCAACGGCTATAAATAGGGCATTGAATTTTTGGTCAGGTCATCAATAGGGAAGGGAAAATCGCAGATTTTGGTCATAGATAGGATGAGGGTTTGGGACGCGGGCCGCACACCCCTATCCAATTTTTCTAGGAGTACCCCTCTGAGCAAGGATGATCCTTTTCAGTGACCCACCGACTAGATCTCAGGAACGAAATGTTATCAGTTGTAATTTAACTAATCTGACTTGTTTCTTTAGTTCCTCCTAAGGTTATGGTAGCAGATCCTGTCGTGAAAGCTTTATCTGGCTACAAAGTGTCTCCATGCTCAGTCAATGGGACTTTTCCCATAAACACACAACTGATAAAGAACTCTAAAACACTGGCGAACTCAGACACCAGCATAATAACCATGACGTTGAACGAGGAAGGAAACTACACTTGTCTTGCCAAAAGCAAGTATGGAACTGATTCAAAAAACTTCACAGTTGTTTTAAACGGTGAGTCCACTCCGACAGAAAAGTGTATTGTTTTCGTTTTCATTTAGGTGTCCATATTGGATCATTTACTCTAAATGGAGCGGGTTGCTTGTAATGACCGAAGTATTTTACAGATCTAGTGAAGGAAATTTAAAATTAATTACAGTTAGCTTAATTGAAAGGGAAATGACAGAGTTTTGGTCGCTCTTTAATTATCCAGCTCAATATAGGTTTATATCATTTTCTGCCTTCGTCGTTAGATTGTGGACCGCGATGTTCTCATTACTGGTCCAAGTACTCGGGAAATACTCTGAGGTGCAGAGAAGCCACTTCTAACTTGAACATCATTAAATGTACTCCCATAACAACTAAGAAACTGTAAGATTGTCTAATTAAATATTTATTTTTTTAATTTAACTTTTATCTTTAGTTTTAATTTTAGTCTTTTGCAGCAGTGGTGCTGGAGAGGATCGAGTGCGCACTGAAACACCCACGGCTGGAGACTGAACCCATGTGACCATTCATATGTTTATTGGGTGTTGGATAAGAAACGTCGCAGATTCTTGTGATATTTCATGCACGTAGTTGTATAAAAATTAATACTGAAAAATTCGCATTTTCTTGCAGGTTAGTAACTTCGAGCAACTTTTCTCATTCTTCTGTTGGAAGCTTTTCTAGCCTGAAAAATATACTGTGGCTGTAAGTTTATATAGTTGGTTTTGTAAGTTGAAATCTTCTCATTCTTTTTGGCCCTTTTTCTCTGTCCATCAATGTTGTTTATCACACTATGCTTCCCTATCTGTCCACATGTTTCGGGATTCCATCATCTCCATGTCATCGTGTTTGTACCAACGTACAAAACGTAGGGGAAACTTAGCAAGTGTGCTTAAATGTTAGCAGATTGAGTACATTATTCTTCAAAGATTGTAAAGTGCTGACATTTTTCTTAGATGTCTTATGGATATAGATTGATGTATAGCTTTATTTAATTCCTGCCTAGCCTATTTTTAGTAGTCCAACTCGATTTCCGCAGTAATTCTGTCACAACAGCTGTTTCAAAAAAAACGGCAAAGTGCAACGAACACCATTTTATGTTTTTCCTCGACGTTCCAGGCGTTACTCCAAATTGCATGATTGCTAAATAAGTGTACTTTCCTTGGTCTTCACCAATGCCATCACAGAGGCTCGCGATTGGCTAGGGAAAAAAGGAACATTGAAATTATTTCACTGCTTGGGGTTATTATATTTTACCAATATCTAATAGTTTTCTTAAGTTTTATTGTTTACGTATATTGCATGATTCCTTTAATAAGATTAATAATAGTAATTGAAAATATTTATACAGAGACTACTACAGAAACGGCATTACATTTCTTCCCGGAGACGTGTTCGCCAACATGACGAATTTGGAAATCGTGTAAGTAAATTGTCGTGGAATACCCGATATTTAGAAAATAGCCCAAAGAAAAATAAGGCGCTGATTGGTTTCGAATCGTGTTTTTGTTTAGCATTTAGATGATGAGCTCGAGATTTCTATTTAAACAGTAGAGTGTTTCTGTCGAGGAACTATCGGCTGATAGTGCCCCGGGTAAATTTGACTTCTTAAAGCTGAGTAAACACTCACCTAACGGCTCGTGTTCCTACAGCATTTCTCATTCTCCCGAACTTACACTCGTGTTTCTTTAACTCTCTATAAACACAGTACTTGTTTTCTATTTCTTAATTGTTGCCTACAAATGGACACTCTGTTATCATTTGTAGGAACGGTCTTTGATCACTAACATCATATCATCATTGTAAGATTGTGGTAAAAAGGTCTTTGTGGTAGCTGATTCAAATGCATCATGGCTCAGATTATGTTTACTATTATTATACAGAGACTTCTCTTCAAACGCTATCACATCCCTACCTGAGGGAATTTTTGCTACGCTGACAAATCTGAAGGAGCTGTAAGTGCATGAAACTTCGTTTATAACAACTGCCTTGTTGCTCAGCATTGAAGCATTTCATTAATTAAAGAACATTATTTTATAAAACATTGCGAAAAAATGTTGAGAAAAGTAAAACCAGTTTAAAAAAGTTGAAAATAGTGTGACGAAGTTACGACGTTCCCTTAACGTCACTATCAAGTCAGAGATGAGTGCAAATGAGTGCAAATGTAGAAGAAAATTAAAATAATTCTTAAGAGATTCGAAATAATAAAATAAAAATGCGATGGTCATACAATCATGTGTTAGCACGCAGAGTCACAAAAAATGTTTGGCGCGAATATTCTTTCACTCAAATAGAGTATTTCGCTCAAAAAGACTCTTTTCGCGCCAATTTTTTATAGTTAGATTATAAAGCAAACCTCTTTTTTCTACGGATATTTTTATTATTCTAATTGGGTAAATGAGAAGCTAAAAAGAACAGCTATTTATTCAACAGAGATTTCTCTTCAAATGACATTACAATTCTTCCCGAGAGAATTTTTGACGAACTGACAAATCTGAGAGAGCTGTGAGTTAACTTTTCTTTATAAACAATGCATTAGTTCGTGTGTTTATCTGCTCGAAAAGTATTTTATTCTTACCCATAAAGTAAAGTAGGAAAAATTGTTTCATAGAATACACGACTTATGTTTGTGACGATTGTTTCACAGAGATTTCTCTTCAAACGACATCACATTTCTTCCAGAGAGAATTTTTGCCAAATTGGCGAATCTGAGAGAGTTGTGAGTTAACTTTTCTTTACAAACAATGCATACGTGCGCATGTTTTTTTTGCTCAAAAATTAATTTATTCTTATCCATAATGTAAATTAGAACAGTTTTTACAGAGGATGCACGACTTATACTTATGACTATTGTTTCACAGAGATTTCGCTTCAAACGTCATTAAATCTCTACCCGAGGGAATTTTTTCCACGCTGACCAGTTTAACCGAGCTGTGAGTGATTTTTTTTTTCCTGTTAACGCTGCATTGATAAGGATGACTAAGTCCAACGTAACTCCCTCACGACTAACAGAACCACAATGTTCAAACCTCAGTTAGAATCGTAAACTATTGCTTTTTGTAGAGAGAGATTAAAATCGGATCGGAGAACCTGCAAAAAAAAAAAAACCCTTAGAACCTTGCCTCGATGCGTCATTCCTGCTCTCCGTAATAGGCTAATCTTTTCTGACGTCATTGTTTACATTTTTCCTCATTAACATACGACTTTGCGCAGAGAAGACATAACACTAGACACATATTGACTAAAAAAATTAAAGAGCTTGTGAAACGTAGTAATTGGGGAAATATTTGGCTATTTAGGTGTAAGATTCAAGAAGAAATTAGCTTTCAAAAACTGCAAAATTTCTGAATGGGAAAAGCACTTATGAGTTCATACAATCTTTGTAAAATTTTGAGTTTTTAATCATTTCAGAATTCAGAACCGATAATTTTGTAGCTTGATCAGAGGCTGTATCGCTTATGCAATGAGGCAAATATCGCAAACAATGATTCCCATACATTATGCATGGGCAAAAAAAATAAATAAATAAATAAATAAATAAATAAATAAAATAAAACCTAGCCAATATATACCTTTTAATCATATTTCCTTTATTACCACGTTAAAATTGTTATATTTTCCCTGTCTGCAGAGATTTTTCTTCAAACGCTATTGCATTCTTACATGGCAAACTTTTTGCGCAGCTAAGAAATCTGAAAGACTTGTAAGTATACGACCCCTGATTCAGAAAGTTATCTGTGTTCCCATTCAACGTCTAATTTTGTGTTTAAAAGGGAATCGAATTTTTCTGGATATTTGTTCATTTATTTATATTACTGAAAGTTAAAACCATATAAGAAACTTGCTATCCCTACAGGAATTTTGCGTCAAACAATATTTCAGTCCTGCCCGATGGAGTGTTTAACAACCTGACAAGTCTGGCTAACCTGTAAGCTTAGTTAAAGACAACAATTGCAAACTCAGAACACACACCGCGAGTAGTTTAATATCTGCATAGATTTGTTCGCATATTGACTGATATTTTTGAAACTTCGAAGAAATGTTACATTTAACCTGTCCAGCTACGTGACGATAGTTAATTTTTTTTTTCCAGCGATATATATTCAAATCCGATCACAGTTTTACCCGAGGAAATATTTTCGCCACTAAAACGTCTGAGGAATCTGTAAGACACTGAAATCCTGGGATGAGAACTGAAGTTTCAACACTTGAAACAATGTGATGAACCATCGTTTCTTTTTCTTGATGATTCATTTCTCTAGGGATTTTTCCAAGGCTGCTTTTACAGAGCTACCTGACAAAATATTTGCTCACCTTACGACGCTACAGGAGTTGTAAGTAAAATGATAATGAATCTTAAAGGAGCTACGTCACAATTTGCCCATCGTGAAAAGTTTAGCCTAAATTCAT